GTTTTGTGTATTTCACTTTACATAAATTATATTTCAATAAAATGCACTAATAAACCTTAAAATACTAAAAAATGTCTATGTACCATATAATATCTCCACTTGTATATGTACTGTGCTTTGGAAAACAATTATTTAACTGATAGGAGATCTTTTGAAGTTGACCTGTCTAAGAGTAAGACCCAGAAGAGACATCACAAAGTGAAAAGTTTATAGATTTGACTACATACGAATTTAATTTCTTCCCATAAAAAAGAAAAAGAAAAAGAAACCGTGCAGACTTGTCTACTGGGAATTTGCACAGTTTACAGAATTCTGAGTCATAGTGCCAGGTATAGAGGGGAAACTAAGTTCAATGTATATGTGGGGGGCCTGACTCAACTCCAGTCCACCCCTTGGCATCACTAGGTGGCCTCTAAGACCCTCGGTGGTCTGTTTGAAGATCACTGGTCTAAATAATTGTTGTTGTGAGGGAGAAGCATTCATTGTTGCAAACTCTATAAGATGCCTACTGTGCATCATCAATGTATGGGGCCAGTCAAGAAGTTTTGAGTACCTATTTTTTTGTCATTTTGATAAATTTATTGATCACCTACTAAGATGACCATGTTGTTCATAAGAAAGTGGAGCAAGTAGAGAGGACCCCTGGTGGTGCAGTGGTTACAGCACTTGGCTACTAACCACAAGGTTGGTGGTTCGAACCCACCAGTCACTCTGTGGGATAAAGATGTGCCAGACTGCTTCTGTAAAGATATACAGCCTTGGAAACCCAGTGGGGCACTGTGTTTTGTCCTGTAGGATCTCTGAGTCAGAACTGACTTGATGGCAGTGCATTTTTTGTTTTATTCTTACAGAGACTGCTTAGGTCTATTCCTGCTTACTTTGAAGAGGCAGGGGGTTTGTAGGCAGGAGTTTGCCACAGAAGATGGCTGTAGTCACTGTATGCACGAAAACCTACCTTTCTAGGAAATTCCATAATGATTATGTAAAGGAATTGGAGATAATTAGGATAAGTGTGATAGTGGAAGATGGTCTTGAGATTTCTTAGACTGCAGATAATTATTTCCTTTTTTATTCCCCTGTTTCAACCTTTTCATATGTACAGTTCAGTGATGTTAATTAATTAATTCACCATGTATGCAACCACTAATTACTATTCACTTCCAAATTTTTTTCATTACCCTTAAAAGAGATTCTGTCCCCCTTAAGCAATAACTCCTCATTTCCTCCTCCCACTTGCTCTTGGTACCTCTAATAAACTTAGGTTCCTATGCATTTGCCTATTCTGGATAGTTCCTGTAAGTGGAATCATAGTTATTTGTCCTTTTGTCTATCTTATTTCACTCAGAATGTTTTCAAAGTTTTTCCATGTATCAGAATTTCGTTTTTCTTTATGACTGAGTAGTATTTCATTGTATGGATGTACCACATTGTATTTATCTTTTCATCTGTTGATGGACACTTGTGTTGTGTGGTGGTTAAGTTTGTGTTTCAGCTAGGCTGGGCCTGGGTGAGTGGCTGGGCAGCAATTCCCCATGGTGAGAATGATGATTAACTCCATGGTGTAATCTATTGGAACAGCTGAGTAGATGGTTTGGGTATGTGGTCTGCTTCCCATATATAAGAAACAGCTTTGAGAATGTCTCTAGCTTATGGCACACTCGAACCCTATGTGTAGCCATGTCGTTATTCAGCAGCCTGCCATACTCTGCTGAACTTGGGACTTTCAGTGGACTTGAATTAATGGCCTGTGTGTGGTTTGGTAACATTGGGACTGTGCCTTTTTACTTGTCAGCCTTGGGCTTGTTAGTCTCAGCAGTTCAGCAGCTGTCTGAGTGAAGAAAAGCCTCTAGCTCCAGTGGGCCGGGAGCAGGAGGCAGAGCTGAAGCCCAAGGTTGAGGGGCTTTCACCCAGCCCCTAGAACCTCGTACTTTGAACTTAGACTTGAAGCCTCCAAACTGTATCTTGAACAAACAGGAGAATGAACTCCTGTTTGTTCAAGCATCCCATTTGTGGTATATTCTTGTCACAATGGCACTAGGTAACCAGAACAGGTTGTTTCTACCTTTTTGGCTGTTGTGCCACAGTGATGATTGATGTACAAATACCTCTTTGGGTTCCTCCTTTTATACTTTTGGATATATACCTAGGAGTAGAATTGCTAGGTCATGTGGTAATTCTGTATTGAAACATTTAGGATCTGCCAAACTATTTTGCACAGTGGCCACACCATTTTACGTTCTCACCAGCAATGGATGATGGTTCCAGTTTCTCCACATCCTTGCTGACAATTGTTATTTTCTGTTTTCCTGATTATAGCCATGTTAGTAAGTATGAGGGAGCTCTGGTAGCATAGTGCCTAAGGCACTTGACTGCTAACCAGAAGGCTGGCAGTTCAAACCCATCAGCCACTCCTCAGAAGGAAGGTTGGGCAATCTACTTCCGTAGTGATGCTATCTCGGCAGCACAAGGAGGGGTCGCTATGAGTCGGGTCCGACTCGATGGCAAATAACAACAACAACAGTAAGTATGAAATGGTATCTCATTGTGGTTTTGATTTATATTTTCCTAACGACAAAGGAAGGAGCTCCACTGGGAAGTGGTTAAAGCATTCAGCTGCTAACCAAAAGGTCGATGGTTCGAACCCACCAACTGCTCTGTGGAAGAATGATGAGGCTGTCTGCTTCTGTAAAGATTTACAGCTTGGAAACCCTATCAGGCAATTCCACTCCATCCTGTAGAGTCTCTATGATTCGGAATCAACTTGATGACATTGGATTTTTTTCTTTTTTTTGATTGACAAAGGACTTTGAACATCTTTGTGACTATTGGCCATTTGTATATCTTCTTTTGAGAAATGTCTATTCAAATCCTTTGCTCATGTTTTGTTAGGTTGATTGTCTTTTTGTTGTTGAGTTATAGGAGTTCTCTTTATGTTCTGGATATTTAACCCTTACCAGATAAATGGTTCCCAAATATTTTCTGCCATTTTGTAGGTTGTTTTATCACTTTCTTTGATAAAGTTATTTGATGCACAAGTTTGTTTGTTTTGATGAAGTCCAATTTATTGATTTCACCTTTGTTGCTCATTCTTTTGATGTAATATGTAAGAATCCATTATTGAAAATGAGGTCCGTAAGTATTACACCAATGTTTTGTTCTTAGGGTTTTATGATTTTAGTTTTTACATTTAGGTCATTGATCCATTTGGAGTTAATTTTCAAATACGGTATGAAGTAGGGTTCCAACTTCATTCATTTTTTTAAAAATGTAAATCCTACTCAGTTTTCCCAGTTTCCCTCTTGTTTCATGGTTGAAGTTTTTGAACTATTCCTTAAACCTCTTTGTAGCCATCTAGTAGTTCAGAAGTATCTACTAATGTTTACAATATATACCCAATGTATTTGTCTAACAAAATTTAACTCTTTTTTTCCAGGTAATATATCCTCAGCATTCCAAGCTTACCGATAAAGAAGTAAGTAAAAAATATTGCTCTGTATAGTTTACTGTTGTATTTCTGTTTGTTTTTATTGGTGTGTGTGTGTCAGCATATATAGCTTTTGTTTTCTTTTTCAGAAAACCAATATTTGCTATTTGTCTTTTCCAGATTCAAATTCAGGTAACTATTTTTCATGTGGTGTTTCTGTTGAATTTTATACTAAGAATACTGATTATACTCTTAATATGTGAAGATTAATTGAAATACCATATAAGCATATAAACTCAAACTTCAGCCCAACAGGTCAGTGATTTTGACTCCTAGTTTTATGATACTTCATCATGTCATTATTGCTTTTATTTACTTCAATTTTTAAAATAACTGGGTATGGGGTAATGAGGTAAAACTTCAAGGAGCAATACGCTGTTGAAATAGTGAAGAGATTGAAAATCAGAGCCCTTCATACATTTGAGGGATTTATAGTTGGTCATTCAGGGTTTGGGAGCTTGCCAAGAACTCTGTAAAAGCCGTCAGATTAAGAAAAATAGAGCAAATCTGGTTATGAAAACTGACCATCAATTATTTGCAGTAGTTTATGTGAATTAATATATGCAAAGCATTTGGAATAGTATTTGGCCTATAGAAAACACCCTATAAATGTTTGCTATTATTATTTAGCTTAGTTTTGCTGGTCTCTTTTAAACTCTCCATTTGTGTGGTCCTAATTGTTGAAATCTTTCAGTTTACCTCATGTGTTTTACTTTCAAAACAGCTTTTCAGGCATCCAATGACCAGAACATTGAACTTACTGGACCACACACAGTTTGCCCCTTTGAAGCAGAGGCACTCCAGTTTCCTTTTCATTTGTGGTTACTTCTCATATCCCATTAATATAGTTCAGTTAATCTGATTTGGGGAAACTTGACATTAAAGGTTTTTTTTCTCCAGCATTTTCTCCTTTCCTTATAAATGCTTCCATGGTTTTTCCCTGTTTGTTTGAAGTTCAACTTTTGTGAAATATGTAAAAGTAAAGTAATATCTTGGTATATTAGATACTGCCTTTGAGAGATTCCAGTAGGGCTCTAGTTCTGACCTGGAATTACTAGT